AACTACTAAGCTTGAAATTTTTCTTTTACTGGTTTATATTCATAAAGTTTAATTATCAGCTCTTCCGCCTCAGCAGTAAATTCGTATTATGCTAAATTTTACGATTAAATCATTATTTTTTATAAAAGTAATTAATCGTCTAATCTGAGTGTAACTATTCCACAAACGCTTTGCCAGATTGTTTCACATAAATTTTATAAATTTTTCTCGAAATCTGACATATAAATTATTTGCTTGTAAACAAAAGTCTAGTTTGCTTAAAACAAAACTCTCATACTGCATTCTGTGACAAAAATATGGAAGTCAAAAGTTTAGGAATGTATAGCAAGAAAACGTAAGACCTGGCTGTCTCCATACCAGCTTAAGGTCCAACTTCATTCACGCTTATTTCATCGTTTATGCTCTATTCAAAAAAGTTCTTAGACTTCACAGTTTATTCACTGTCAAAATTTTCTCTCTTCTTTCTCAACATATATGCAGAAGTTAAAATATCTACCCTTGCATTTGGAAACATTGCTTTGAATTTTAATATTTTAACAGGAGTTAACTTCCTTTTTCGTCACGAAGCATGCCGGTCGAGAGAATGTTAGTAAAGACTGCTTGCCAAGATGCCGGGCCCTCGTTAGAAACACAATAAGTTATGGATCTTCGTATTTTATGACTGTAAAACCTTTGAATTGCCTTGATTTACCTAGTGATGGTAAAGCTATCAGAATACGGAGAGTAAGGCCGTCATTTAAGACCTTTCTAAAAGAAAATTTCTAATATTTATGTTACACGAGGCGAAAACTAAGGTTAATGGTTTACAGCATAGTTAATAGATTACTACAAGGTTTCCTCTTACTGACCAGAAATATTTGAGTGTGTGACGTCAAATTAAAGAAATAATCTACTCCAAACTAACTGCTTACTTGAAGAACTAAATTTAATTGTATCTTTGTTTCTTCCAGTTCTGTAACTCAAGTGACGTCACTGAACTCAAATCTTGGGAACAGTATAATCTTGTATGTCTACTTCAGCAAAAACCATCGAAACCTCATACAGCCTCAGGTAGTATAAACTTCGGGAATGGAATTGCTAGTGCTTCATGGTTCTAATTACTCAGCTATTGATCGGCCATGTAATATCTTTGTAGAACAGCAGCATTTAAAAGACGTTTACTACGTAGCGGTTGTGTGGAAGACGACTCTGAGATTTTCAGATTCCATTTCCTTCGAGATACAGAATGGATTAATTTAGCTTTAGCTGATTATGGTATAGCACTCGAGGGCAATCTGCCTATCTGCCTAAAGAGGAGGAAGCCTTCATGGAGGACTTTCTAAGGGAAAAAACGAACTTCATTTCTGCCATAGTTTCCTATGAAATGTATTTCCTGTAGCACTCGAAATAGTTAACAAATCTTAGTCCGATAATCTTAACCTTCTACACATTAATATGAAGCGTATTAATATACAAACCAGAAAATCAACTTCCTAAACTAAGACATGCTTTAACGAGCGAAATATTTTTATCGGTTCATATACTTTAGCATAGACTGCATTAATTGGATATTAAGTATAGTTTATAATATGAGGAAGAGAGGCACATCAGTACGAAAAAATGTAAAAGTATCCGCCCCCGAAAAAGCTTATATTGGCTTATATGATATACAAAATTCTGATGATCAAGAGGGTGACTGCTATAGGGTGGAGGATATTAACGTTGAAATTTAAACAATGAAAAACATTTTTGTATGCTATATTATTTAATTTTCGCTGTTTTTACCATCAAATGCAGTTTATGGAAATATGTTTGCACTAGATCTCAAAAATAGTACCAGTGAAATAGAAAGCATAAGATAGCCTTGACTTAGCCTGCTATATCCAGGTATTTTTCAATAATTCTGAATAGAATTTTGGATACTAATTCTTGTACTGCTCGTCGCATATTGTCTTTAAACCATTGAATGGTTCACGACTTATTTTCATATATCTTTCCTTTTAAGTAGGGGTGGCGGGAAAAAAAGTTGTTGCCGTTAAATCCGTCGATCATGATTTCCAATTAAGATTCGAAATTCTGGAAGTCATGCGAAAATTTTCCTTAAGGGTTACAAAATGAAGTTTGTGCTAAAAATCTCAGTACCTTCGAATCTGTTGCTACTGTAAAAATGAACAGAGCTGACTTCGTTTAAAAGAAATTGCTCCCAATTCTTATCGATGAATGTATTAAAATAGCTGCTTTGGTAATAAATTAACGAGAATTTGATGTTACTGCAGATACTTTTTTTATAATTAAGTCTCTTTTGTAAGATAAAATTTTTATATTCGAGACAAGTTCCCATCTTCAGGGCACATTTTAAAGCTTCCTGTTAATATTTAAATTCCATATTTAATATGTAACTTTCGTCGCATCTGAAATTTGTTTTGAACTAAATTAAATGAGCTTTGAACTAAAAATTTCATGAGTAATTTCTCATTTTGTTTTGAATTGAAGTCATAAAATAGATTTTAATAAGTAAAAGTCAATATTTTCACGCACTTTTTTTTTTTTTTTTTTTTTTTAATTTTTAATTTTCATCACATTTCAGTTCAGTGTGAAGATAATACACACATACAGAAAGTGTACAATATTTCTAGAAAGTACCATTAACCATTTTTTATATATTATGCACGCAATAGTGGAAAAATTGTGTTTTTAGAAAATCAAATTTTAGTGTGTGTCTTTTAAAGAAATACTTTTCCTATTAGAAAAAGCATGAAGTGTTTATTTTATGTAAGATATCATAATATGTAAGTTATACATAATATATGTATTAGTTATACATAATATATGTATTATATATATGTTATGCATATATTTAATAATATATAAGTATATAATAATATATAAACTCTAATAATTGTCATAAGCTTAATTAATATAAAATAAGCTAATTCACCAAAATACAAGAAGGCGACTGAAACTGATTTGACAATGGTACAACACAGATACAACTAAGAATTTTCCCCCTCGAAATAAGAACTTATCCGTATTCCATTGTTTAAGCTAGAGAGTATTCTGTGATATGTTAAAGTGTATCATGTACATAAATTATTGGATATGTAGCTTCCAACTTGTACATCTAACATATTTTAAATATTATGCCCACAATTGCAAAAAGCCTTGTTTTAAAGAATGCTTAGTGTAAATACAAATTACAGCAAATTATACAAATGATAAGCTGAAAACACAAATTATAAACTGAGTTAAGATATGGGTAAAATGTTTGCATAGAAAATTACTTTTTGTAGCTCTTGAAGCCCTTGCAACAAACATTTTGGCAGCTAATAGCTGACGTTAGCCCTTTAACTCAAAAACGGCGCCTGACTTTACATTTGATCGTAATTTACATTTGATTTACTTTTACGTTTGATCGTAAGGTACCAGAGCAGCCATCTGGAAATTTAAGAGTGTTGCAAACGAAGTAGAAGAAAATTATTCTAATTAGCAAAAATATGAAAATCGATGTTTTAGAGAATTTAAAGTACGTACTATGTTTTGGGGACGCAGTACAAACAGGGAATTATTTAAATGATCTTTAATTACCTTTCATCTCATTGTTGCCTCATTTTGTTTAATAATAATTTCGAAATTATTTTTATTATACGCTTCTAATGCAACGCAAGGAACTTCCAAAAGAATCCAAAAAAGTTCCCAAAGATTTTATTAAGGTATGCTGTCTTGGACTTCATAATTGAAAAAAGAAAAATGAATGGAGAACAAACCATCAGATTATATGTCATCTAAATATCACATGGAGAATAGTAAAAACGTTTATTGAATAAATACAAAATAATGCATTAAAAATAAATGAATTCATAATTTCAATATGCAGAGAAACCGTTAAGAATATGATTATTGGTAACGTTCAATACTACTGTTTAATTATGTCCTCAGAAATACTGAACGCTTTCAGAGGGGATTGCCATGAGAATTTTCTCTTTAAATTAATAGATAAATATATCTTAAAGTTTTAAAATCCAACTTTACACTTCTGGCAAAATTTGCAGAATAATTTTGTCATTCTAAGCGTTAGTAGAAACTCTACTTAAACAAACTTATACAATGATAATAAATGTACTAGACTGCGTAAAAACTCGAAAGGGCATGCCTTGAAAAAATCTCATCCTTCGTAACAAACCTATGAGAATTAGAAAAATTCACAAAGCTATAAATAAAGGTACCTTGTAGTAACAAGACCATCTTCCGGCAATATTATCCCATTATTCGAATAACCACGGGATAACTCTATAATAAGTAAAGCTGTTGAAAGCTGTCTTTCGGTGATACAAAAGTAAAAACTAGAATTTATTTTGCTTTTATTTCAAAGTACTAGCTAAATGAGTGTATAACTGACCATATAAATTCTTCTATTCTTTGTTCAATTAAAGATTTTAAGTTCTACAAACAACTAATAGATGGCGGCACCAACCCTAGCTTTAAATCTGGGATTCCCAAATTTTTCTTGCATCGACCTCTTTAAAGGAATTGTTTTCTTCCCCGACGTCTTTATTTTTCGGGTAATGTTCGGAAAACAGCTTTAATAGGACTTTGACTCCTTTTGTTCAAAAAATTCTCACCAAATTTGTTACCTCAAGAACTATTTATTACTCGAAAATAACTATCTATATCTCTTTAGTTATTTAAGACTCTACAATAATTAAATAGTTCTTTTATTCATACTCTCAAATGATGAAAACAAAAGTTACACTTAACTCTTTAAAAAAGAACAACATCATAGTATATTGCCATTCTCTGAAACATAAACTCTTACAAAACATAGATAATAATAATATGAATAGATAATGAATAACAAAAAAACCTATAGATTAAGAAACGATTACATCTGCTTGAAGCTCATGCAGTATTACTCAGAAGCTTCAGTTAGATAAAATATAAACAAAAATATTAGAATCCTTCCACCTCGCAATATGAAATTTGGGATTGAGTATTGCAAAATAATAAAAAATTAAACATTGTTCTCACAAGTCCAATCGATGAGGAACTCTAATTGTCCTTCCTGATTTGGTTATCGTGGGCGATTTTAAATGGGTATGGATTATTCTATTTGTTTCTACAGGTACATCATCAATTGGAGTTTGCTCTACCGAAATATTTTCGCATCGTTCAAATCCCCTGAATTTCGATGGAAGTTCCTCTGCAGTCGATAATTCCAAAGGATAAAGATTTTGTACAGCTCTTGTGACTTTTCCATTTTGCACTTTAATTTTGGCTCGTCGACTTTCACCGTCGGTACCTGGAAATAATTGTATGATTTTACCAAGAGGCCAATTTAATCTCCTTTTGTCATCGCTTCCAATTAAGACAATGTCTCCTTCTTTTAATTTACAACTTCTAGCGAATTTTTTGCTTGTTGTTTTCAAAGTTCCCAGATATTCCTGGCGAAATCTTTTCTTGAAAACCTGATTAACATTTTGGATATAACGCAATCTTCGTTTATAAAAGCTAGAATTGAAGTCATGTTTCACAATTGGCACTGAATAGTTTTGTATTTCTCGTAAAAAATTTCCAGGTGTTATGGAAGTGAGACTTGAATAAGCCGATACAACTGTTAAAGGTCTATCATTTAGGATAGCTTCACAGTTACATAAAACGGTATACATTTCCTCATAACTAAGGCAGGCTCTCCCAAGAACTTTTCTTAATATTCTTTTCATCATTCCTATGAGGCGTTCCCACCAGCCACCCCACCATGGAGCGCCTGGGGGAATGAACTTCCAAATAATACGTTCATTAGCTCCTTTTTTTGCAATTTCATTGAAATCGATTGAAGCAAGTGCATTGCATGCTCCAACAAAATTTGTTCCATTATCAGTATAAATTATGGATGGCTTCCCACGTCTAGCAGAAAAACGATGAAACGCTTGTAGAAATTCATCTGTTCTAAATGAACACAACGGTACACTGCGCAAGTGAATAGGCAAATCCATGCCTTCTTGTAGTCTCTTAGAAATATAGGTCCAGCATAATCTATGCCGGTTATTTGAAACACTGAGGCATCCTGTACCCGATTTCGAGGAAGTGGTGGCGCTGGTGGGTTAACATTTTTGTTTGAATAACGCTTACAGGTTATACAAGTTTTCAAAACGGATGACATAACTCTTCTTCCCGCTAATATCCAAAATCTTTCTCTTAAGGAATTTAGAAAGTGAGAAACTCCAACATGTCCTTTCATCTTATGTTCTTCTATTATTAAACTTTTTATAAGAGGGTGATCACTTGGCAAAATAGCAGGAGTTCTGAACTCCGATGTATCTTCTCTTTGAAATATTGCTGTTTTAGTTCTGATGATCCCACAATCAATGAATGGATTAAGACTTAAAATCCGTTTATCTTCTATTCCATTAAAGGACTCATTTTGTATTAAACGAATCAAGATATTCTTTGCTTCATTTAACTCAGATACAGTAAGTTCATCCTTTTTCTTGTTTTGATGTTTACAGTTGTAAACAAAACGACACATCCACGCTACCAGTCTGATTGTCTTGCGATAACTATTTCACTAGCATTAAGATTTATTAAGGACGAAATAATCCTTTTCTTTTTCTCAAGAGCTATTTCTTCTTCATCAGCACTAAAATCTTCTTTAGGCCATTTTTCAGGTGATAAATATAGCCATTTAGGTCCTTCCCACCATCTGGATTTAATTAAATAAGAAGCAGAGCATCCTCTACTGGGCAAATCAGCAGGATTCAGTGATCCTAGTACGTGCCTCCAGGATTCAATAGAAGTCAGTTGCTTTATTTCCTTAATTCTGTTGTGAACAAATACGTCCCATACTTCATTTCTCTGTATCCAAGCTAGCACAGTAGACGAATCTGTCCAAAAACAAATATCATCAGCTTGGAAATTCAGGTATTATGCTGGATGCTAAACGTGCACATATTGTAGCTCCAAGAAGTTCCAATCGAGCTATTGTTGTCTTTTTCCTTCCGCTGGGTGCAACTCTCGCTTTAGCTTGCATCCAAATGAACTTGAACCGAAATCTCTTGTTTGTACTCGAACAAAAGCCAAAGCTGAATATGCAAGTTTACTCGCATCACTGAAGAAATGAAGTGAGATATTTTCAATCTCACGATAACAGTTTAACCATCTTGGTATTCTCATTCTTTCCAGAAACTGCAAATCATTCAACCATTTACAAAATTGTGATTTTGAATTTGAATCAACTTCTTGGTCTCAAGATAACTTAACTTCCCATAGGTGCTGAAGTAAAAGTTTCGGCACAAGTGTTACGGGGCAAGCTATTCCTAAAGGGTCGAATATTTTGTGTGTAGTAGCTAAAATCTCTCTTTTAGACAAAATTTCTGGTAGACTGTAGGTGATGTTAGTAATATTAAGGCAAAGGTAATCTCCACATCGTTCCCAAATCATTCCTAATACATTTGTGGTACTAGAGGAATTATCTGTTGGGTCACTATATTCCCAACCACGTAATTCTAGCTTTCTTGTAGCTAAAGTATCTGAAGCAATTTGTATGAATTGTTGCAATTCTAAATCATTTTTTACACTCGCTAAACAAGTATCTACATAGAAGCTCTTCTTCAATTTCTCAATAATATCCACTTTATACTTTGGGTTTCCATTTAGTTGTTTCAAAGTGGATTCTAGAAGATGGTGAATTACAGAAACTAGCAAGAAAGGGCTGCATGTAACTCCAATACTACCCTACAATGCCTGTAATACTTCAGTTTTCCATCAGTTCTATACCATATGAATCTTAGATAGTCTTTATCCTTAGGGTTGAGACTTATTTGTAAGAATGCTTATCGTATATCTGCAGAAACTCCTATTCTGTTCATTCGGAATCTATGAAGAATTGAAGGAATCAGTTCGATAAGGTTCTGACCTTTTTCTAGACAATCATTGAGACTAGGGGATCCTTTTTGTTTGGCCGAGGCATCAAACACTGGCCTGATTCGTGTAGTACTGTTTTCTTTTACTACATGTGTCGATGTGGTAGATAATGGCATGTTACATCAATTTCGCTTTTTGGTACTTCTTCTATGATGCCTTCTTGTTCCCATTCACTAAAAACTTCTCCATAAGCATCATAAAGTTTCTCTCAGCTTTTAGTCGTTTTACTGTAGAAGCTAATCTCTTTACAGCTAAGTCATAGTTATCTTTTAACGGTAGATGGTTATCAAGCCATGGCAAGCTGACTTGAAAACGTCCCTCTTCGTTCACCTTTACAGTAGACAAGAAATGATCTCTTGCTTCTTCTTGAAGTTCCAGTTTACTTTTTCTTCTCTGATGGGATCTAGAATTCCAAGTGAATCTAGAGACCATAGATCGGATATCAATATTTCCTTATTCAACATGGATGTGACGAGCAGTGCGGAATTGTCCGATATCTCACGCATACCATTTTTCCCCGAAAACAGTCCAACCAAGTTTTGTTTCTATAGCAGCAAGGCCTGAAGTAAGCAATTTAAATCCTCCGGTCATCAACTTGCCTGCAATGTCAGCGCCAATAAGTATTTCTATTGGTCCATTACTATCGTCGCATACGGATATATTGTTCTCTTTAAGCTCTTGAATCCACTCGCCATTAGCAACTGGTGGTATACTTCCACAAATAATATCTTGGCTAAGAGCTTTGAAGTTACAATGATAAGTTCCATCCGTTTTAGACAAGAACACTGTAAAAACATCGTGGTTTATGACATCAGTACATGACCCGCCAAATAATGAATGGCTCAATCTTTCTTTAGATGTACTCTCAAATTTCATTTCATCTGCAGTGCTTTTTAAAATATAAGATCTCTGTGAAGCTGAATCGATAATAGCACGGGCCTGGCGCTTTCTATCTCGCCCTTTCAATGTAACCGTTAAAGTTTGCAAAAACACATTTGTTGTTCTCGCCAAATTGGCGAGGGTTTCATCTCGTTCAGGTACTGCATCCGTATTTTCATCCTTATTCGTGCTAACAGGAACTGGAGATTTTGATTCAGCTTGGATATTTCTACATAAAAGTATGCGGTGTTTCTTCCCACAAATCACACACGATGTTCGTTGTTTACATTTAGCTATTACATGTTTTCTGTCTAAACATAAAAAAGCAACTGCGACTATTTAGAGCTGCTTTTTGCCTTTCTTCATACATTATCTTTCTTGCTTTAAAGCAATCACCAGATGCATGATTTCTCGCACAAAAATACATCCAGTTGAATTTTGTTCAGATGTTGCTATTAGAGTAGAAGCAGGTGTTTTGGAAAATTCTCCACGGTTTTTGAAACCAGTGTTTAGCATTCCCAGGCTTAGGTGTCTGATATTTAGTAAAGCACTGAGTAGCTATAGATACTCTCTCTTCACCTTCAATTTCATCGAGCAAAAATGAAAGCAAACCATCTAAATCCATGCGATGTGTTGACGCATTTTTCTCTTTTTGCTCACTACTTTCAGATTCTCTCTGACTGCGATTAATAACTCGGAATCTTTGCCATGCTCTTAATGTATCATCCGGCAATGACGATTCGACTAGAGGATATAACATCGCCGCATATTTATCTCTAGCAACACCCAGAACTTCTAACGCTCTTAGTTTCGATTCTAAGTTATCATAGAGTTTTCGTAATGAAAATTTCTGCTGAGAGTTTTTTAATAATACTAACGAAAGTAGATCTCTAACATAGACTTCTATAAGAAGGTCTTCTTTCCCAAAACGCGATTGTAGTTGTTCTAAAGCTTTACTATAACTTTCGCCACCGGGCGGAAAGCTTTTGATTAACTCTTCAGAAGATGACCCTTTTTCCATAGACTGCAATAAATATGCAAATTTATCATGATCATCTAAATTGGGATGATCATTATCGATCTTTTTAAACTGGCCCCAAAATCCTAAACAGCTTTTAATATTCCCATCAAAAATCGGAAGTTTAAGCTTAGGATAACGAATAGTAGCATTTTGAGTTAAGCTTTCATTAACAACAGAACCGCTTTCCTTTTCAGCTAAAAGCGAAACTAATTTGCTTTCTACTATTCTCCACTTATCAATATAACATTCTGAATCATCAAACTCATTATTTATCACAGTTTCATCTTTTTCAATTTTAATCAATTCTTCTCTATAAGTCTGTTCTATTTCAATCATAGGTTTTGCTTTGTCCTCAACTAATTTAAGTTTCGAAATTTTTCCGTCTAAAGATAAATCATTTTCATTCTTCTCAAAATCACTTAAAGCTTTTGTAAACAATCTCCTAAACTGAGATCGTTTGCACTTCAAAACATCCATTATAAATAAACGAAAGAATTCTACTTACAGATAACAGTCCAGTCAGCGGACGCCAAATGTTCAAAAAATTCTCACTAAATTTGTTACTTCAAGAACTATTTATTACTCGAAAATAACTATCTATATCTCTTTAGTTATTTAAGATTCTACAATAATTAAATAGTTCTTTTATTCATACTCTCAAATGATGAAAACAAAAGTTACACTTAACTCTCTAAAAAAAGAACAACATCATAGTATATTGCCATTCTCTGAAACATAAACTATTACAAAACATAGATAATAATAATATGAATAGATAATGAATAACAAAAAAACCTATAGAGTAAGAAAACGATTACATCTGCTTGAAGCTCATGCAGTATTACTCAGAAGCTTCAGTTAGATAAAATATAAACAAAAATATTAGAGTCAAAATATTGTTCACCTTTAGTACGCCTCCTAACATTTTTTAGTACGCCAATGGATGTGAATATTATGCGATGAATAGTAACTAAGAAGAAGAGTAAAATATGTAAGGAAAAGTATTTAAAGAAGTGTTTTTTCCTATTTACCGATCACTGGTTCAGATCTGTTCTCTACCGAAATAAGTAATAAACGTCAACTAATATGCATTTATGAGAGAAGTAAGATAGGGACGAAAGGTAGGGAAAAGGATTTAAAGAAGTATTTTCTTCTATTTGACAACTTATTATT